AGCACCGGGCAGAGAGAATGCCAGATGCTTTATCGCTTTCCACACTAGTGAACCCCTGCAAGCATTCAACCAGAAAAGTATAAAAACACAACCTAGAAATAATTAATAGAAAGGGGTACAGGGACAGCACAACATCATGGAGAGTACAACCCCCTCAGAGGAGGCCAAGGAAAAAAGTGACAAAGCCCACTATTGAGAGGTAACATCTATTAACAGATACACATCCAGGATGTTGTATCCCTGCAAACCCTCCATAACAGTACAACTAGTGTCCAGCAACACTAAGAAATTACTCTAAATGCATAAGTGCAAAAAGAAAAAACTTGTTTAGGAATAGTTGAGAAACAATATATAATAAACCACAAGGAGGGCAATGACAACAAGCATCATAGGGAATCTAATATGCCATAAAATGTCAGTACTCCACCGAGGCATGTGCCGTAGGCTCCAGAGGATAAGTCTTCACAATTATATGAGTATAGGTTGTTCCATCATAGCAGAAGCAAAAATCTAAATGTAAGGGGAGGAATATCATCCTAAGTCAACTTAAGTAATCCAAACCAGCATCAGATATCGAGTGCAGTCAAAGGGAGATAAAACAAAAATAAATGTGAAGAAAATCCTCCAGGGTGCGAGGGGAGAACAGAGGGACATAGGAAGCCCACAGGAGGACATGGGCAGTCACAGAGATTACTTTTTTTGTTCTCACTGGTCCTGTAAGTAGATTAACAGTTGGTTAGGGCATTCAAGGAGAGATGTTCTCTCCAGAGCCATGGGGATCCAGCCATTCTGCAGACAAGTGCAAATTTGGAGAGAGGGGTCTGGAGAGGGCTCAGGTTCAATGGAGACATCCATTGCAGCAGTGAAATCATCCAGGTCAGCAGGAGAGGGGAGAAAGTATGTGCATCTGCTCTATTTAGCCAAGAGATTGAATAGTTAGCCCCAATGATGGGGGATATTCACCTTTTGCAGGTCCCTGGTCAGTGGCCAGAGGGCTCTTTGTTTTGTAAGAGTGCGCTTGGAAAGATCTGAAAACAACGTTATCTGTGTGTTATCGAAGTTGAGCACCCCTCTAGCTTGTGCTTTGGCAAAGATGTCCGTTTTCAGAGTAAAGTAATGCACATGGCAGAGGATGTCGCACAGTTGCGGGTTATTAGGGCGGGGGATGCCAGGAGTCCAATGTACTAGTTTTGACAACTAGCTGTGTGATCTAATCAGCTGATGAAGCTGATTAAATCGCTTACAAAAGGATGCTGCACTTTATTATTCAAAAGTTTTGGATTCCTGGAATCAGCTGGTCCTAATCTGCTATTTAAGGGCTCCTTTCCCTTGCAGGGTCCGATGGAGCCACCCTTGTGTGTGCTAGTAAGCTGTGTGCGTCTCTACAAACACACAGACACAGCAAGGCAAGTCACTCCCCTCAAGTCATTCCCCTTCACCCTGCGCCCCATTCCTCCTTCCTCCCTTCTCCAAGCTAGTAGACGGACAGCTGCTGTAGACTGCTCTGTCCCTTGTGATCTTGTACTGGACAGGAAGTTCAGGAAGTTAAACTGAGGGAGTTGGGGCCAGCTGTTTGGAAATATGATGACTGTAAGTGCTTGGGTAAAAATGTAAAGAAATACACTTTAAAGAAATTGCTAGGCAATGTATATGTGTTTGATCTGAAAAAAGACTGAAAGTGTAATACTACTTTCTTTTTAACTACTTCCAAGATACAATCAATATAATAATGTTACTGTTGAAAATGTCTTAGAGCACAATGTCAATGTGCTAAGAGAAGATTAATCTACATTCCCACTTCAACAGCTCATCATGCAGATTTAAAGGAAATCTGTGTTCCCATTTTGAAAGTTATCAGTCTACATTGTTTAATACTAAAGCTGTAACTGACAGCTTCAGTCCCTATTAACTATTGGAAACAAATTGGAGTGTTGCGGCCTGAAGATTATAGTGTGCTTTCGTTTAATACTATAGTTAAAAAAAGACAAGTAACAGAGCTACTGTAAAGTTAACCAACACATACTAACACTGCTAAATTAGGCCTGAGCATCTAGGCTTCAATGATGCCTGAGCATGAAAGGGTCAATCAATTAATTACAAATAAAAAATAAAGTAACCTGGCACTCCTCCAACGCAAACCTAAAAAAATAACTATAGAGAAAATAGAGAAGAAAAAAAAGAAACCTCTAAAGACACTGTTGGCATGAGATGTGGATTTTGAAACCTCTGACACAGATGACTCAGCTCATCTATTTTAATGCACAATTTCAATTACAACTCCTTAAAACATTTCAGAGTGAACCGCTAGTGAAGAGAATAGAAAATTATTTGGCATGGTTTCTAGACAGAGCAAAGATGTCTTCTTTTGTTCAATTCATTTTAGCCTATGTTACAGTTCACTGAAATTAATAGAGGTTGAATTATTAAATATATGTGGCATTCATAGTCATGATTTCCAAATCCAGCTTAAGAAATTTTCTATTACTAAACTTCACAAAATGAGAACAACATTCACATTAAAAGAAGAAATAGTATGGAAAGATAAAAAGTCAAGTGTATCCTATTGGTTAGAAACATGTCACAGTAGGGCTGATGTATGACATCATAATGCTCCCAGTGAACAATGAAACCTAACTGGTTGCTATGAGCAACCGCTCTGTTTTTGCTCTATATTTATTTGCTTCTGCTTATATACTTAAGTGCACAGTGTTTTACAAAATATGATATAAGCATATTTATAGTTTTATTTTATTTTTTTAAACAAGAAACATAAAGAATGAAACTGAAACTACATTATATATATATAACTACAGCTAACGATTATTTTCAAAATCGATTAGTTAGCCGATTATTAAGTTCGATTAATCGGTTAATCGGATAAACAATAAAATACATTTTTAAAAATGGCTCCAGTGATGGACTATTAGTTTGTATTGAGATTGCACTCCATCACAGGAACAAGCTTGGAGCGGTGGAAGTAAAAAAGAAAAAAAATAGTGTGGTGTGCAATATAGTGAAAAGGAAAGTGTAAAATTATACAGCAATGAATGCAGAATGGCACCGACTATAGAGGACTACAAATCCCAGCAATAGTACATTATACAGCGCAATGCAGAATATACCACCAGCTATAGAGGACTACAACAAATCCCAGCAATTGTACATTATAGCTGGCGGTATTCTGCATTGCGCTGTATAATGTACTGTTGCTGGGTTTTGTACTCCTCTATAGCTGGTGTTAGTCGGCATTGCGCTGTATAATGTATTATTGCTGGGATTTGTAGTCCTCTATACAGCGCAGTGCAGAATATCACCAGCTATATAGGAATACAACAAATCCCAGCAATACATTATACATAGTGTATAATGTATTGCTGGGATTTGTATTCCTCTTTAGCTGATGGTACATTGCTCTGTATAATATACAGCACAATGTACCATCAGCTATAGAGGAATACAAATCCCAGAAATACATTATAGAGCACCATGTGTGGGGAAAGTGCAGGCTTACCTGAGCAGTCTTCCAGCAACTTGCTTCTGAGATCGGACCTGTCTATCGCCGGCTGTCATCCCCCCACACCTGCTCCTCCTTACTACATCTCGCCGCGTCCCTGTGCCGATCGTGGATGTGGGCGGGCGGTGAGTGTGAGGCGGGGAGGAGGTGTGGCGTGAAGAGCGTGGAAGCGGGCGGGTCTGGCAGCAGCGAGCGTGAGGTGTGGAGGAAGTGCGGCGTGGGTGGAGCCGTGAACAGGGCCAACTGATCGGAAGCGTATTAATCGATTATTGAAAAAGTTGACAACTTTTTCAATAATCGATTATAATCGATTATGTTGATTAGTTGTTGCAGCCCTAATTACAATGCAAATTAAATTGAATCTTAACTCCAGGCAGATAAACAATACAAATAAATGCTTCTCTCTGTTCATAAATGCATTACTTAATGTATTTCTTTATAATGAAAGCAGTACAAAAAGTAGCCATGGAGTGTGTGGCCTATATATGCTCACTGAAGCTCAAAAACTATCTTTTTAAAAAGTTGTCATTTATTGGTCCTAAAATAAGGTACTGGTCATAAAAAGGAGTTTGGAACCCATCCCGCAAAATGCATGTACATGCATTCAGTGTGAATAAACAGCTGTTGGGAGAATGGGGCAAAATCAAATGTTATTAAGGCCATTTTTTTCTGGACAAATGTTCTTTAAATAATCTTGGCAGCAGTGACACAGATAAATTGTGGCTTAGTAACAAGAGACACAATTTAACAATTCTAGAGAAAGCTGGATGGAATTAGCAGATTAATGTAACCATTGGTACGACTGGAATTGTCCGGAACATCCCGATGAAAATCAAGCATAACCAAGCATACTCCACACGAGATCCAATCCTAGGTTGTTTGATCCCTACTAGGGCTTCATTGAACCTCACAGATGTGAGTACACAATCTAATATAGCACATTTGCACTCAATCACATACTGTATAATTACTATATTACATGGATCTCTCCCATGGCTTTTTAATCCTTCTATCTTCTCTTTCTCCTCCATTTTTTGGAGAAACTCCACATTTCATAAAAGGGCATTGTTACATAAAGTGCAAGAAAAGCAGATACATTACAGTGCAGGCACTTTAGTAGTGGATAGAATAAGCCCAACTTTTTAGTTAATAGTTCACCTAAAAGAATAATACCTAATTAGATAAATTATATACCAGGAGCCCATTAAATGGTAAAAATATGGCAAAATCCATAACTCAAATCTCCAGAAAACGACACTCTAAAAGCTATTAATAAGCCAAATAAGGTTGTCAGTTTTCTACTAATAGAATATTAATTATGACAACAAATAGAACACATTGAGAAATACATTACTTCACAATATACATGGAAAAGATAGAGAACAAAATGTGATGATGATTGAAAACAGTAGAACCCAGTGCAAACAGAGGTATCAGTTATAGATGAAGCTATATAGGCACACACAAATAAAATCTGAAGACTAACCTCTTCCACACTTTTCTGAGAGAATGTGCTGGACTGTAACTGCTTCTCAAGATGGAAGCTTTTCAAGCGCTCTTCTTTCAGTTGGCTGTTAAGCTTGTCCACTTCATTCAGGAAATAATCTTGATTAGCTTTAACTGTCTTCAAATTCTGATTATTTAAAGAGCAATTAAAATAAATCAGAAATACAAAAATGGGAGGGTAAAAAATGTATGATGTACAACATCTGAAAGCAATTTTGTACATATACAGTACACACATGATAAACTGTGCTGATGGGTATGCATTAAAACACCACATCGGACCATACAACTGTAGTCCAAAAAGAAAATAAAGACTAAAACTTGTACACCTGAAGTATCTAACAATTAAGCATAAAGAAAAGAAATGTGGTAACTGCATTCCAGTGCAGTCAATAGTCAATCTTACTGGAGAGACAGAACAGCCTTTTTAATAAATGCAAAGCCTTTCAGGACCAGCAGTGGACTGGAGGTCAGATCAGCGTAGGAAACTCCTACAACTTGAACTAAGGTCATCACAGTCAAAAACCACCATTATTTAGGGGCAATGTCAAGGTGTAAACCAAGGTTGAAGAGCTGGTAGTTGGCAGGAGCAGTGTTTTGAAACTATGGGTTGGGACACAAAATGGGTGAAGGATGTATTTGGGATTGGTTGCCATTTGACCTTGTGTGCAAGTTTAAAATCAGCAGAAGGATGGTGAGTGATTGGATACTATGAATGACCAAAAAAACATGTATAAGGAGCTAGAGCGCCTGTGAGATGGGGGGGG